TTTTTAGAGCAGGTGGACATAATAGCACCCTGGTTTGCAAACACTGGACAGCTTACAGTCCCTTCATGGGAAAAATTGGGAAGGGACCTAGATTTTGCTTGGGAACAGGGGACACTGAAGCCAGGTGTCCATTCTATCTGGAGATTATTGAGGGGCTCCTGGAGGACAAGAGATGCAGTGAGGCAGTTGAACAGGGACAGGCTGCTCTTGACTCCCTTCAGGAGGAGCGATCCGAGAAAGCTAACAGTGAGAAAATCTGCCAGAGTCTTAAGGAACTGGAGGAGATAGAGTCCTCCAGTTCCGAGGGGGACACAGAGGATGAAGAGGAACTCCAAGCACTAATAGAGCAGCTAGAGAGAACCAAAGTAAAAAGGATAAAAGGAAAACAGGAGAAGCCCGAGTTCAAAAGGTTCCTGGAGCTTGAAAATGAAAGGGAAACCCCAGCTGAAACCCAGTCCTCGTCACCTCCTTACAATATGACGGAAGGAGATGGTGGAGGCGTGGCGAAGGAGCCTCACACTGCCCTCAGGTCTGGTGGGAAGTTTGCTCAGAGTTGCGCCTTGCTTGCCTGGTACCACCAATCAAAGTTTAAAAGATTATCTCAGTTTCTAATACAGAATTGGTCATCCGAGTTTGAAGACACCATGTGAGAACTCAGGATGGCTATCGTGCATGTGAATTCCACCCAAATAGACCTATCCCTTGTGAGCGGCCTGACTTCCTAGTTGAACTCTGCTGTGGATCATTTGAAAGAGTAGGCGGGCATGGGAGCGTTAGCAGGCCTCTTGATTATGGTCTCCCTGGTCTGCCTGTGGTGTATATGCAGGATTAGGGCTACACAAAAGCGAGATGCAGCTATGATTATTCAAGTCTTTACTGCCATAGAAGCAGGGCAGTCCCCCCAGGCCTGGTTGGCCACTATTAAGAACTAAAATGCTCTCTTAAGTGGGGTGCAAGGCTAAGCACTGCACGAGGGTTTGCTTGTATGCGGCTAGGCTGCCCTCGGAAGACAAGCCCGATTGCATGAAGGTTGTACCCAAGATCCTTCCCCTGGGAAAATAGGTACGGGATGGGTTTGGGTCACCGCAGGCATAGAGTTTGTGGGTGTCACCAATACACTATCCCATGTATGCACACCAGGGATCGGGCCTCTATCTTCACCCACTCTGTTTTTTAACAAAGAAGGGGGAACTGTGGAGAGGTGCCATGTGCCGCGCCTTAAAGATGGCGCTGGTTTCCACCTTCCACCATCCCGAGGGTGAGCGCTCTCTGGAATAAACAACTCCTTATTTGGCTTGGTCTAAGATTCAAACTTGCATCAGCAAATGCGAGCCTATCCGCCTTAGCCACGTGGCATTCTGGGGTTGGCTGGCAAGAGTGCTTTTAAGCTGTGGGCGGGCTTTCCCAGGGGTCAGAAGATTGTTTAAGTTTCCTGAGTAAACTGCTTAAGGAAGAGTCTCAGCGTTAGGTATTCCTTGCTGGTCGAGGCGGTCTCGACATCCCACTAGATGATAAACCTTTTCTAAGTAGCCTTCATATTCAGTTCATTTACACATCTACTATATTACTGGCCCACAATAGTACATGATGATAAATCAAGATTCTATTCCTACATGCATGCCATTAAAACAATATGAACAATACATCCATGAGGATGATTTCCATATACACAGAAAAATAATTTTATTCTTTCTATGACTGCTAACCCCACATCTGACAAAAGGCTGAATTCCAAAATATACAAAGAACTCAAGAAGATAGTCACCAAAATG